CAATGACAACGGCGTATATATATATAATAAAACAAAAACAATCTCACCTGCACAATTTAGTTTTACGAATATATAAATGCAATGGGCGCTCATATTCCGTTTTTCCCTATTATTGCAAGGGAAAATAGTAAAAACAAAAGAGAGAGGAAGAGAATAAAAGAAAACAAAGGCAATGTTATAAAAGCTTCAACTTGAACGCACTTTAAAGCAGACAGTTTCACGAGCTATGGCAGCAGACTTCAAGTACTGCTTCGTACAATTCATTAAAATATTCTTTGATCTATTTTTTATTTTTTATCTTAATCTTTTTCTTTTCTCAACTTTTTTTCTTGAGATGCAGATGTTACGGGATATTCCATTAGCTCTGCGCGTATTAATTAAACAGATGGGTGTATTATTATTCCTAATAAGAATATGCACATGCTTTAGCTTGCTCTGTACGTCATATAATGTAATTTCAAGACAATCCTTTCTAAGTGTGTCTGGATTTCACGAAAACAATCAGTGTATTAAATTTAGTGAGAGGCAACACACACACACTCGCGGTTCCTCCCAAAGGAGTGATGGAAGTGAGGAGAGGAAAAGGGCAAAGTGGAGAAAGAGGGAAGAGGAAAGTGGAGAGAGAGGGAGAGGGGAGAGTGAGAGGGAGAAGGAAAGTAGAGAGAGAGGGAGAGGGGAGGGTGGAGGAGAGAGGGAGAGGGGAGGGTGGAGAGAGAGGGAAGAGGAAGGTGGAGAGAGAGGGAGAGGGGAAAGTAGAGAGTGGGGGAGGGGAAGATGGAGAGAGAGGTAGAGGAGAGGGTTGAGAGAGAGGGGGAGGGGAAGGTGGAGCGAGAGAGAGAGGGGAGGGTTGAGAGAGAGGGAAGAGGAGGGTGGAGAGAGAGGGAGAGGGGAGGGTGTAGAGAGAGGTAGAGGGGATGGTGGAGTGAGAGGGCGAGGGAGAGACAGACAGGCAGACAGACAAATAGACAGAAAAAAACAAGGAAGAAAGAAAGAAGAAAAGGAAGAGACGCAAGCAAAAAATAAATAACATAAATAAACAAATAAAAATAAAGAGAAAAAAGAAAAGGAAATACCTAACACACCTACCCTTTGAACCCCTCCACCCCCCCCCCCATTCCTTTTCCCTCTTCCCCCTCTCCCTCCTCCCTACCCCTGTCTTCCTTAATCCGTCTCAAGTAACTCTTCTTCGTCTAATTTTATTTTTGTTCTAAATCTCTCCTCTTCTTCTCCTCCTCTCCTCCTCCTTCACCTCCATCTCTTACTCCACCTCCTCTTCTCCACCTCCACCGTCCTTCCACCTCCTCTCCATCCACAACACCTCCTTCTTTTTCACAACACCATCCCCTTTGTTCTGACTGACCAGGTGTTGTCACTAATGGGCTATTTTGATAACGCCAACTCGTCTACATCATGGGGATTAGCGCTGTCCTGTTCAGCCTGTTTGATTGGCCCCGTGGGGAGTTCTCAGCGGGATAATGGGGAATGGGGGATGGGGATTAGGGACGTGGGATTAGAGATTGGGGAATGAAAGGGGTGAGATTGGGGGATGGGATTGGGTTGGGGGAGGGAAAAGGGGGTTGGGGATTGGGAGGTGGGGATTGGGGTTTATGGGGGTGATTTGGAGGTGGTTAGGAGGAGGAGGGAGGAAGGGAGGTATGGGGGGGGTGGAGGGAGAGGGAGAGGGAGAGGGGGGAAGGAGGGGAGGGAGAGAGGAGGGGAGAGGGAAGGAGAGGGAGAGGAGGTGGAGGGAGAGATAAAAGCTTGGGGAGAGGTGGAGGGAAAGAGAAGAGAGAGGGAGGGAAGAAAGATGGAGGGAAAGAAGGGGTGGGGAGGAGAGGATGAAGACAGTGAAAATTAATCGAGGAAAGAGGAAGGACAGGCAAAGAGAGAGGGGGGGGGGGAGAAGTGAGAAAGGGGAAGGTACAGAGAGAGACAGAGCGAACGAAAGAAGGCAAAAGGGAGAAAAGACCAAGGGAAAGAAAAAAGAAAGAAACGGGCAGAGACACAACAGGAATAAACACACACAAACAGAAGAGAATCAAATAAACAAGCAGTTTAAGCGAAAGACAAGGAGAAATAAACAGACGCAACCCAGCTGTGAGTCATCCCCTCATTAACTCGGTGGTTTCGACGTTGCAGATTGCAGTCTAGACTTGACATTCACTCCGCGCCGATCGCTTATCGGTGCAAGAGAGTGCAATAAGAGTGATAAGCCGAGAGGAGAAATCAATATCTCACGCCCATGAAGATATATTATAAAGAGGAAAAATGGTTTTTGTTTGTTTGCGGGCGTTAGATAAGGGAGGGAGGAGGGGGAGGGAGGGGAGGGAAAGGAGGGAGGGGAGGAGGGAGGAAGGAGGGAAGGAGGAAGGAGGAAGGAGGAAAGGAGGAAAGGAGGAGGAAGGAGGAAAGGAGGAAAAGGAGGGAAGGAGGGAAGGAGAGGGAAGGAGGGAAGAAGGGAAGGAAGGGGAAGGAGGGAAGGAGGGAAGAGGGAGAGGAG